TCTTCTTCCTCCCACCCCTGATTAGTGGTCGGTATGAACCTTGAACGTTTTTCTCTGATGATTGAAACTTATGTCACTTTTTTTGTGCTTTGACTGGCTGGTTTGATCCTTTCTCCCCTCTGCTTTTTCTCCCACCCCTGATTACTGGGTGGTATGTACCTTGAGTGTTTTTCTTCGATGATTGAAACTTGTGTCACTTTTATTTTGTCTTTTGACTGGCTGGTTTCATCCCATTTCCACTCTTTTTTTTCTTCCCACCCCTGATTAGAGGGTGGTATTTACTTTGAATGTTTTTCACTGATGATTAAAATTTGTGTCAGTTTTTTGTGTTTTGAATGGCTGTTTTCAGTCTTTCTCGCCTCTTTTTTTTTCTCCAACCCCTGATTACTAGGTGGTATGTACCTTGAATGTTTTCATTGATGATTGAAACTTGTGTCACCTTTTTTTGTGTATTGAATGGCTACTTTCATCCCTTTTCCCCTTCTTCTTTTTCCTCCCACCCCTGATTTGTGGGTGGTATGAACATCGAAGGTTTTTCTCTGATGATTGAAAGTTTTGTCATTTTTCTTTTGTTTTCTGAATGGCCGCTTTCATCCCTTCTCCCCTCTCCTTTTTCCTCCAACCCCTGATTAGTGGTCGGTATGAACCTTGAACGTTTTTCTCTGATGATTGAAACTTATGTCACTTTTTTTGTGCTTTGACTGGCTGGTTTGATCCTTTCTCCCCTCTGCTTTTTCTCCCACCCCTGATTACTGGGTGGTATGTACCTTGAATGCTTTCTTCGATGATTGAAACTTGTGTCACTTTTATTTTGTCTTTTGACTGGCTGGTTTCATCCCATTTCCCCTCTTTTTTTTCTTCCCACCCCTGATTAGCGGGTGGTATGTACATTGAATGTTTTTCTCTGATGATTGAAACTTGTGTCATTTTTTTGTTGTCTTTTGAATGGCTGCTTTCATCCTTTCTCCCCTCTTCTTCTTCCTCCCACCGCTGTTTACTGGGTGGTATGTACATTGATTGTTTTTGATGATTGAAACTTTTGTCACTTTTATTTTGTATTTTGAATGGCTGCTTTCATCCTTTCTCCCCTCTTCTTCTTCCTCCCACCCCTGATTACTGGGTGGTATGTACCTTGAATGTTTTTTTTGATGATTTTTTTAATGATTGAAACTTGTGTCATTTTTTTGTGTTTTGAATGGCTACTTTCATCCCATTTCCCCTCTTCTTTTTCTTCCCACCCCTGATTAGCGGGTGGTATGTACATTGAATGTTTTTCTCTGATGAATGAAACTTGTGTCATTTTTTTTGTTGTATTTTGAATGGCTGCTTTCATCCTTTCTCCCCTCTTCTTCTTCCTCCCACCCCTGGTTACTGGGTGGTATGTACATTGATTGTTTTTTTTTGATGATTGAAACTTGTGTCACTTTTATTTTGTCTTTTGACTGGCTGGTTTCATCCCATTTCCCCTCTTTTTTTTCTTCCCAACCCTGATTAGCGGGTGGTATGTACATTGAATGTTTTTCTCTGATGATTGAAACTTGTGTCATTTTTTTGTTGTCTTTTGAATGGCTGCTTTCATCCTTTCTCCCCTCTTCTTCTTCCTCCCACCCCTGGTGGTATGTACATTGATTGTTTTTTTTTTTGATGATTGAAACTTTTGTCACTTTTATTTTGTATTTTGAATGGCTGCTTTCATCCTTTCTCCCCTCTTCTTCTTCCTCCGACCCCTGATTACTGGGTGGTATGTACCTTGAATGTTTTTTTTTTGATGATTTTTTTGATGATTGAAACTTGTGTCATTATTTTTTGTGTTTTGAATGGCTACTTTCATCCCATTTCCCCTCTTCTTTTTCTTCCCACCCCTGATTAGCGGGTGGTATGTACATTGAAGGTTTTGCTCTGATGATTGAAACTTGTGTCACTTTTATTTTGTCTTTTGACTGGCTGGTTTCATCCCATTTCCCCTCTTTTTTTTCTTCCCACCCCTGATTAGCGGGTGGTATGTACATTGAATGTTTTTCTCTGATGATTGAAACTTGTGTCAATTTTTTGTTGTCTTTTGAATGGCTGCTTTCATCCTTTCTCCCCTCTTCTTCTTCCTCCCACCCCTGGTTACTGGGTGGTATGTACATTGATTGTTTTTTTTTGATGATTGAAACTTTTGTCACTTTTATTTTGTATTTTGAATGGCTGCTTTCATCCTTTTTCCCCTCTTCTTCTTCCTCCCACCCCTGATTACTGGGTGGTATGTACCTTGAATGTGTTTTTTTGATGATTTTTTTGATGATTGAAACTTGTGTCATTTTTTTTGTGTTTTGAATGGCTACTTTCATCCCATTTCCCCTCTTCTTTTTCTTCCCACCCCTGATTAGCGGGTGGTATGTACATTGAATGTTTTTCTCTGATGATTGAAACTTGTGTCATTTTTTTGTTGTATTTTGAATGGCTGCTTTCATCCTTTCTCCCCTCTTCTTCTTCCTCCCACCCCTGGTTACTGGGTGGTATGTACATTGATTGTTTTTTTTTGATGATTGAAACTTTTGTCACTTTTATTTTGTGTCTTGAATGGCTGATTCATCCTTTCTCCCCTCTTCTTTTCCCTCCCACCCCTGACAAATGGGTGGTATGTACTTTGATTTTTTTTTTGATGATTGAAACTTTTGTCACTTTTATTTTGTATTTTGAATGGCTGCTTTCATCCTTTCTCCCCTCTTCTTCTTCCTCCCACCCCTGATTACTGGGTGGTATGTACCTTGAATGTTTTTTTTGATGGTTTTTTTGATGATTGAAACTTTTGTCACATTTATTTTGTGTCTTGATTGGCTGCTTCCATCCTTTCACCCCTCTTCTTTTTCCTCCCACCCCTGATTACTGGGTGGTATGTACCTTGAATGTTTTTCTCTGATGATTGAAACTTGTGTCATTTTTAGTTTATGTTTTGAATGGCTGCTTTAATCCTTTCTCCCCTCTTCTTTTTCCTCCCACCCCTGATTACTGGGTGGTATATACCTTGAATGTTTTTCTTTCATGATTGAAACTTGTGTCACTTTTGTCTCAAATATGTGAAACTTTTTCAAGGCCTGTGTGGACCAGCTGAACAGATTTTGCTTTTTCGGTGTTGTTGAAACTGTAAATCTAATTTCAGTATTAATTATCTATTTATGTCGTCTGTATAAACTCAAGACCAGTTTTCTTTTCGCCATCTTAAAAAGCATCAATATTATGGTTTTTAAAGAATGTGGACAAAACTTATAATCATATTAAAAAATAAAAAGTTGTTTGCAAAATAGCTTCAATTCATACCACATTTACCACATTTACAACCAAATGAAATCTCATCGCGAGTTAAGTGTACCTCAAGTGGCCTGTTGTGGGGGTGTACCTATTGTGGGGGTCTGTTGTGTACCTGTTGTTGGGGTCTGTTGCAGGTGAAGTTAGTGTACTTGAGGTCATCCATCACAGTGTGCACAGGAGACACACGCAGGGGACTGAACACACCCCCTCCCCCGTCCACGTCTAAGTCACCTGTTGTGCCCCCTTCCATATCACTGCTCTCGTCCCTACTCCTCTCTCCTGCCCTATTTGGAGTGCGCAGCTGATGATGATGATGTTCGTGGATGGGACAAGTAGTGTTTCTGATTGCCGAGTCTACCCGGGTCGAGATCCCGCTCAAAAACCGCTCAAGATTTGAGCGGTTTGAGCGGTTTTCCAGCAAGATTTGAGCGGTTTGAGCGGTTTGAGCGGTTTGGGCGGTTTGGGCGGTTTTTTTTTGGAAAAACCGCTCAAACCGCTCAAATCTTGCTTAAAAAACCGCTCAAAAACCGCTCATTTCTTGCGGTGATTTTTGAACGGTTTTTCAAGCAAGATTTGAGCGGTTTTTGAGCGGTTTTTGAGCAGAAAGGCATCACCAGCCGGCCTTGATCATCGCCCCTCGGAGGAGGTCCCACGCCACTATTGCCCCCTCCCGGAGCAACGGTTGCACCCCTTGCAGGAGCCCCCGTTGATGACGGAACACCTGATCCCCATGCTAACGGAACTAACGGCTGGTAATTGTCATTACTCCCTGATGCGGCTAATCGGTTCATGTTTCTATGGGGTCCCGGTACTTGTGGCAGAATCTGAGACTCCAACGCGTGGAATGGGGGAGGGGACTGCTTTGCAGATGTTGACGATGACGCCCCTGATCCTCCCATTCCCACTCCACCTCCTCCCGCAAGGGGATACCCTGGCAAGTGATGCATCTGAGTGCTGTGAGGCATTGTGGGTCCCAACTTATTTGTGGTTCTCAGTTGGTATTGGTAAGGTCGGGGTTCCTGGTGATACTGCATCGGAGAAGCGCCTTGTTCTATTCGACAAAAAGCATTTTGCTGGCTACTAGTATGATTTGCACGTGGAATGTTGCCTGCAATCAATTTGCCGCTCCTGAAGAGTCCATCTTTGGCTCAATTGGCACTACTTTGGACGTTGGAGATCCCCGACGTCAGTGGCTCCTGATGATGTTGACGTGGATGGTGGTAGTGGGGGTGATTGGGGTTTGCGTAGTGAGTTGACAGAAATATAAGTGGGAAGTTTCCCATTAAGTCTCAGATGTCTCCCCTTGTTTTCCCCTTTAAGACTGGCAGGAGAGTTTGAACTCAGCAGGGCACTGTTCAGTCTCTAAAACAAAACGTAAGACTGACACCGTTATCAAAAACAAATATACTTTGTAACGGATCTAAATATATTTTCAGGATCAACCGTATAATCTGCCTCAGCAACTCTTTTTTAATTTTCAACTTTTGGATAATATCAGCATAAATGCAGACAAATTACGTCAACAAACAATCATTCAGATTATATTACCATAAATGCTGACTGCGAAAATGAAAGCAAACCGAATATGGTCACTTAAGTAAAATAACTCCACAAAAGCAAAAAGCAAGCATGACAAAACAAGATTATGCCAATTAACCAACTTTTGGAATGTGGTTAATATCAAATATCAGACTATAAAAGAGAAGTGAAAAAGTACCAATTCATTCGCTCGTCAATTTTTTCGCTCGTCTTCTAAGCTAAAAGCAATAGTCAAAACTTGCTCAGCACTCTGTTTCTCTTATACGAGCTTTCTAAATCATTAATTCTCAGCTCCTCCCAACCCTCTGGCTAATGTGGACTTATTGGACCGACATCAATAAATCTCATCGGTGAATAAAAGACTTTAGCTGAAGAAAAAAATCCAACCTCATAAAAGACCTGTTTTTCATGTTTTGTCAACCATAGTTTTAATTTGATGATTTTATTTGTGCCTATAAATTTATATACTAGAAATAAAATAGATAATGGATCAAAGATTATTGTTCCGACTTTCCTAACGAAAGTAACGAAATATTTGTGCTAGGAGTGTGTTTTTTTTCTTCATACAAATTTCTACTTTTTAAATAGCCATTTTGACAGAATTTTTTATATCATTTAAAAGGTATTGTTGTCATGAGTTTAAATTTGATAAGATATGCTACCTGTGATAATTTTTTGTGAAGCTATTGCGATTTTTTGTCTGGAAAGTAGCGCCCTCTCCGCCTTGGTCTGAAAACTCGCGCTGTCTCCACCTCGGTCTAGAAAATCGCGCCGTATCCACCTCAGTCGCGAGGAAAATAATATTGGTCGCGCCGTCTCCACCTCGGTCTGGAAAGTCGCGCCATCTCCGCATTGGTCTGGAAAGTCGCGCCGTCTCCGCCTTGGTCTGAAAAGTCGCGCCATCTCCGCTTCGGTCTGCAAAGACGTGCTGTGTCCACCTCGGTCGCGAAAGTCTTGAAAGTGCACATTTTGGTCGCGCTGGCCAAGCCGTTCGCGCCGTTGCCTTTGGAGTCGCGCCATTTCCTGAGTCGCGCCGTATCCACCATGGTCGCGAAAGTCGCGCCGTCTCCACCTCGGTCGAGAAAGCCCTGAAAAACTTTTTTAAAGTCGCGCCGTCTCCATGTTGGTCTGGAAAGTCGCGCCGTCTCCATCTTGTTCTGGAAAGTCTGGAAATAGCTAGGTTTGGTCGCGCCGGTCACGCCATTTCCTGAGCCGCAGGGTCGCGCCATATCCGCCTCGGTCGCGAAAGTCGCGCCTTAATTTTTCGGTTGCGAAAGTCTGGAAATGGTAACTCTTGGTCGCGAGAGTCTGGACATACCAAATATGAGTCGCGATGTTTTGGTCGCGCCACCTCCGCTTCGGTCGCGATAGTCGCGATGGATCATCATGGTCGCAAAAGTCTGGAAATGCTATGTTTTGGTCACCAAAGTCTGGACATGCCTAATTTGGTCTGGAAAGTCTGGACATGCCAAAATTTTGTCGCGACAATCTGGACATGAGTCTGGGACCTCGACCCGGGTAAAGAATGCCAATTTGGCCAATTTGGGACAATTAACGCGCGATCTATTTTGCGCTATTAACGAGTGAGCGTAAATTAAAACCGTTTTAAAAATTGTTCCGAATTGGTTGAAGAAACCTCCTATTTGTCATAATTGATTTGCGTCACAAGGAACGAAATCTAATTTTTTGATTGATAAAAAAATCTCAATATCTCAATTTTGTTTAAAAAAGTTATTTAAATTGTGTTTCTTTATATTTGTTTTTTTTTCACGTTATTACTGCTCCATATAGACCTTAAAAGGCAGTCGGAACATTCAGGGCTTCGCCCTGATACGAGCAGTCTTGTTTATCTATTGAATACGAATAGGAAAGTCTTAGCAATAGATAAAAAAACCCATATTTCGATTAGCCACGATTTGGTCGATCGTATGAGTTCAGTCCCGCTAGCCAAAATAAGAGACTAACTGACAAAACTAATTTTTGAAAGAACAAAAAAGAAGGATGAAATGAGATAAAATCGACTTAGTTCGATTTTTAGAAAGGTTTCAAAACCGTAACAGGGCTCAATATGATAAATACGTGAATATGAAGAGTTCGATTAGATGCAAATTTAGGAATCCATGCAACCAAGCAAAAGATAACGTGCCAAAACTTTTCATGACGATGTAGAAAGGCTATTTAAAATGTTTCCTGTCAAGATATTGGTCGATTAACAAAAAAGAACCTTTATTCGATCGAAATGACCAATAGAAAACCTGGTGAACTTCTTCTGTGGCTCTTGTAACTTCTGCAAATCTTGACCTGTGTTTCAAGGATTAGTGACTGATTTTAAATTGTTATCGGCTTTGATGTAATGTGCCAAATTCTGTTCCGAATGATAAAAATCTCTGTTCATGTGTAGCCGCCAACAGTTTCAAGCCAAACTGACCATAGATAGGTTCCATGCTACATAGTTCAGAAGGCAATCACGTCGAAATACTGCTAATGCCTTTGATCTATATAAAAATAACAAATCATCTGTACTGAAAAGATCGTCAGGAAAAGCTTTCGGTTAGATCGCTCGCAATTGTCAAGAGCAAAGATGAACAAGACTGCTATATGGAGAATTTGGGTCTTATGCGTTAAACGGACAAAAATTAGGAAAGTAGTCAGAATTTTTATTTCAAATTGAAAACACGTAATCAGCATACAGTTACTTCAGTTATTTCATATTATACAAGCCAATCAGGATTAATCTCAGTATCAACCGAAATGAGATTTAAATTCATTAATTCTTTTTGAAATTATATCTTTATTGGCATGATAAGGGCAGTCTTTCACACTATATCACTTCAAGTTTTGTGTCTCTTCATAGTCATTCCATATTTCCTTCTCCTATTCTGTTTTTCATTGAAGTTCACCCTGGGCTCCCTGTTGGGTTCTCCCGAGTTCGATTCCCCATTTTTTGATCCACTCCTACTGCTTTGTAGCCCGTCCAACCTATCCATGATGGCCTGAGTTCGCCTCTCCATCATCGCATCTATCTTCGTGTCAAGAGTCCCAAGAGTGTGCTCTTGTTGAATTCTCAACTTCTCCATGTCGTCTCTCAATCGTAAGTCTCTTTGCTCATCTTCCCTCGTCATTCGCGACAAGTTCTTCGCCAGGTGTTCATCCGTTCTCTCCCCCAAGCGTTTTTGCTTCTACTATCTTCTTTTCTGTTGCGGTCGATCCCTTCTCGCAGATTTTCTCTCTAGACGTGGACTGCCTTTTCTAGTTCACTCATTTTTAAGGACATATGTTCATTTTGTTCTCCTATGCTGCCCAATATGTTGGTCAAGGCTTCTTCAATTGATGCTCCGTTTTCCACTAATGGCGTCACAAGTGGCGGTGTCACCTTGTCGATCCCAGGTAGCTTGGTGCTGGTCAAGATTCGGGCTTTGATTCTCTGCCTCGACGTCTTTTCATTATCAACCTCTGGATCCGCCGGTGCGTTGCGTAGCTCTGTGTTTCTATTCTCCCCACTTCGCATTTCCGAGTTCGTCATGTTGACAAAGTCTCCTGACTGGCCTGATCCGTTTGTGGTCTTGCTTATTGTCCTCACTGCACCAAATTGTTCCATAGTGCCAGTCCCTCCATCAGTGTATGCGTCTTTCTCCTGAGTCGAACTATTGACGCTGACTTGAGATCCAAAGTCATCTTGCTCGTCATCGTCTTCTTCCTCTTCCTGGGTTTCTGCTTCATCGCCTGTGCCCGTTCCCATGGTAAATGGAATGAAGTTTCTGAAAGTTTTCTTCACTTTTTCTGAAAACGATGAGGACATTGCCGATTTCTCCGTCACGCCAACCATCATGGTGTTGTCTGTGGGTGATCTTGTAGTTGCCACAATTTCGGTAGAGACGTCGGACAGCTCCGACATCTCTTCTCGGTCCAGTGTCCCGGTGGAAGGAGCAAAATCTTGGCCTTGTTCTACCGGAGTAGATTCACTCGCCAATTTTCTGTTTCCTCTGCCATTCGGTCCATGTCTCTCCTGGTTCTTATCCATGGCCTGGTCCGGATGGACCTCTACTTCTAACATTGCCTTTTGTCCTTCTGAGGACTTTTGACTCCTGGTTTCAACCATTCTGCCTAAAACTTTCTTCCCTTTGTCGGTTCGGGTTCATGTGATCCTCTCCACAAAAGGGTCGTTCATTGCTTTTCTCTGTTTCTCTGGTATGAATTTCCTGGAGCTATCATTTAGTTTAGGTATCCTTGACTTGCTTAGAATCATTTTCAATTTATCACTTCTTACTGCCTATACATTCAATTTGATTGCTAGTGTCCTTTTAGTCTGGCTACTGATAACAATAACACAACACAATAAATTCCAAAAGTTTCACTTAAAAAATGACCGCGAATCTTTGTATGTTATCACAACACAGGGTGTATACAACTTATTCACAAAAATGGATTAATAGTTGTAAGATGTGAACCTAGCACAGTATTATGATATCAATTTAAGTAAAAGATTGTGTTCTCACTGCCCATCAAGGACAGAATTTATTGATTTAAAATCAAAATGAAGAAAAATCACAATATTTTCAATAAAAAACGTATGTGTTTGTACTTTAGCCAGTCGCAATGTAATAGTCGAACTTGTTTCTAAAGAAAAAGTTTTCCCTGCTTGGTGCTACACCAAACAGACAAAACTTGAAGGCTGTAATTTTCTCAAGTGGGCGTCTATGGCACCCACCGAGTCCTGTGTTACCTATCTGCCTTTGGACTGCCCAAGCTGGACCTACTAAAATCCTCAGGGCAATCACTTTTCCCAAAAACGGTTTGCATTTCAATCCACACAAGTCAGTGACAAACTATTGTTCAATTTAAACTTAGTGTCGCGAATATCCGAGGTTAGACCTGTTTTGTTTTGGTCTGGTTTTTTATAAAAGGCAAGTTAACAGTGCAGACACTGGCTACTAGCCTGTCTCTTAAAAAACTAATACTTTTTACTATTTTCTTTTCTTTTGTCTACTTAAGTCCTGACAATTAGTACCCCTCCGGATTGGCAAAAATAGTACCCCTCCGGATTGGCAGAAACAAGACCCCTCCGGATTGGCAAAAATAGTACCCCCTCCGGATTGGCAAAAACAAGACCCCTCCGGATTGGTAAAAATAAGACCCTCCGAATTGGCAAAATTTGGACCCTTCCGGATTGGGAAGAATAGGACCCCTCCGGATTGGCAAAAATAAGACCCTTCCGGGTTGGCAAAAATAGGACCCTTCCGGATTGGCAAAATAAGACTCCTCTGGATTGGCAAAATAGAGACCATTACGGATTGGGAAAAACAAGACCCCTCCGGATTGGCAAACTTGGGACCCTTCCGGATTGGGACCCCTCCGGGTTTATAAAAATAGCTTTTCAGAGATTTTCAAAATTTTCACCCGATACCCTTCCGGATACGTTCTTCGATGCTATTATGCTGTTAGAACTAATTAGGAAGGGTGTATTCTCTTTCCCAAGACCCTTCCGGATTGAAGTTAAGCCTCTTATTTGACAATTCACCCTAACTGAGAACTGTCTTATCACTAGCTTAGTTTCGACTCGACTATGGTTTTCTGGTTCCCTTAGCCTTCCCTTTTTATTTAGAACAGCGTAAAATTGCCTTATTCTACCGTTACTACCCTTTGGATGGGGTGTATGGGCTTTCCAAAATTTTTTTTATAAATTGTGAAGGGTCTACCTTCCCCGAATTAGTGAATTTGCTAAAAACAATCTTAAAAAATTTTTACACTAATTTTTTTGAAAACTTGATACTTCTATGAATAAGCTCACCTAATTTTTGATCTAATGTTACCAAGATCAACTGGATCTGTGAGTAGTTTCAAAGTTTTTAACCAAAACGTCTTCTTTCTTAAGTCAAAAAATTTTATCTCTTATAGGTTCCGCATAACTTTTTTCACAATTCTGTTCTTTTCGACCTGAAAACTATTTATCCGAGCTCAGAAGGCCTATACTTTTCTTGTTCAAATCAAAAAACATGATCTTAAACGTTCTAGCTAAAAAAAAATTGTCAAAAACAATGCTATTTGGACCCCTCCGGATTGATGAATCCACAAAATAAACACGTTAAGTTCGATTTCTCTGTAACCCGGAAGGTTATCGGCAAACGGGTTTTAAAACTTGTCGATTCACTAGTGAACATTGTCTGGACAACAATTTTTACTGTCCTAACTCAAAAATTTCAAAAAATAATCTTATTTTGTAGCGTTCGTTTCGTTTCTTCAAAAATCAAGAAAATTCGGTTTTTGGTAGCCAATTAGTTCCAACCTTTTCCGAACTAAACTTCGCCGGTTCTACCTATTATACTAGTACAGTTACAATGTAACTCACTAATTTAGTGCTTTTTTCCGTTTCAAAAAAAATCGATATCGCTTTTTTGACCCTAAAAACCGGTCCGCTTACTGTGTTTTTCACTGAAAAACGTTATTGGAGTAATAATATAGACTGTATAAATAATAATACTAGTAATACTATACCCCTCCGGGTTTGTTTAAAATCCGAATTAGGGTGCTTAACTCGAAATTCGCAGTTCGGTGAAGGGTCACTACAGTGCAGTCACTGTCGAGCCCCCCACAGAGTAATATCTTACTTTTTGTACCCAAAGGGATACAGAACTCTAAACGATACCCCATAGTCGATCGTTGTTGTCCTTGAGCCCCTTCTTGTTGCTCCTTGAACTGCTTGCCGGATCAGTCTTCTTCTCTAATCTCGAGACCCTTTCGGATTGAGTGCAAATTAGCATTAACGTGCTTAAATACTAAAATAACCCTACAGTACAAGCAACACAAAATTTGATCGTACAGATCCTGACTGATATAAATGCCTATAACAACAATATATCTTACAACAACAAACGAGAGGGTCGGATCACATCTCGTCTGGGGTGATGATTTTTACTGATTTTATTCTTTTTTACTGTTTCTTTGTTTTTTTTTCGGTTATTTATTTGTTTTTTGTTTTTTCTTGGGTACTATACTACTGTTTGTTTGATTTCTTGTATATCTTTAAGCGTTTTTGGTCACGCACTTTTCAGGAAAGGACGAGACCGCGAATCCCTCCAGCCTTCCTGTTCCGTGAATTTTCGGTCTTAACTAGGTTAAAAAGCTATTCACGGGAATCCCGTGGTGCGTTTCCCCATTCCAAACTACCCTTCCGCCCCGACGGTTAGGGCCTTATTAAGGGCGTTATTATGAGCATCCGCTCGGCGCGGAGTGTTCGTTAACGGTTCTGCCGGTCATCATGTTAAAGAAAATAACACCCAGGAGCGCCATAAAAACATCTATGCAACATTCGCCCGGAAGTACATATCGACGGAAAATAAATCTAAGCTATGAAACGACTGGCCAGCTTCTAAACAAAGCTCTACATGCTTTTCACCGTCTCTGCCAAAGCCATTTCTTTTGGTGGTTTTTCTAACATCGGGTGGACAAAAGCGTTACTGTTTTCCGGCTTCGACCAGAACGCTCAAATTAACTTATTTATATAAAAAAAATAGTGAGCTCATGGCTGGGTCTCAGTATCCCCAGTAAAAACAGGGCTACTACGATTTCGTATTTTGTTACTGCTTTTGTTCAGTAGATAAAAGTCATCATCTCCATCGAAGATGGATCAACCCTTTCCCTCACTCCTAGCTTCTCATTATCTGAAAATGAATCGGGATGTTAATTTAATTCAATTCAGGGCATGACCAGGAATCTAAAAATTAATAAGTTTGAGTCTTGGGCCCGAGACCCCTCCGGATTCTGGAATCCTGGGAAATAGCACTATTATTTCTTTACAGAAGGCTGGACACGCCGTCCCAACACCCTTCCTTGTTCTTGTGAATTGCTCGGTAACGATTGTAGCTGCACAATCTTTATAACTCAGAGCGGTTTCTGACAATTTCCAGTCACAACTTTAATCTGTTGTTAATTTCTCGTAGTTGATTTCACTGCAACTATTGTTCTGTTTCGCCGTTTCAGTGTGTGCGAAATAATAAAAAGTTAAGTGTCGTTCTCGTCCAAATCGAAATTTGAAAAATTAGCATGTCAATTAAAACCCTTCCCGATCTGTCTAATCGTTCAAATAACGTCGCTAATCTGTTAAAACCATCAATCTTCCAGGTTAAATGTTATTTTTCTGTTCGATAAAAATTCGAATGCGAAACTGCATTTTCGTACCTTCTGGTCGAATGTCACATTTTCTGATATTTTTTAAGCTGTGTAAGAGGCTTCTTTTGATGTAATATTCTCATCAATTTTTCTGCGGTAGTTCCAGCGTAATTCATGATTATCTATAAAAAGCGAAAATCACCCATTTTTGGGTGAAAAGTTTGGCCGCAATTTTTGTAAAACAAAGTGCACCATTTCAGTTTTGGTGAAAGAAGAATCGCTCAACTATAGCAAAGGTGAATACAAACTTTCAGACTTAGTAGGAGTTTTTTGTTGTTTCCAGAAATTGTGGATGAACTTCCTTTTCCCCAAAAAACGCGGATGTAGATTTCAACCTAAATCAGAAAATGTTTAAAAAACGCGCCACAGGAAACTGCCGTCCCTGCCAGCAGTATTAGTAGAACAGACTTCTGGGATTGGCCACGGGAATGAACCCTCACTGATCAATTGAGATGAGTTTCCTGTTGGGTTGCATTGTTTGCAGAGGCACAGGATTCGCCATGTACATGGCACAAGTTCATTGTATCACATTTCTGCAAAGTTCCAATAAAGCCGAGTTAGATTGTGTTTGAGGTTTGCATAGTCATCAAATTCATTTTTTGAGAGAAAATATTGTACAGCAGTGCTGATCTGATCGCTTCCAGAAGTAATCGTCACTTTTGTACAGCCTGTGTACGATTTTTTTTTAACCAAAGCTTCCATCATTTGTTCAAGTTATAATCCGCCCCTGTGAGGACTTGAAGTCTGTTTCTGAAGTGCCATGAAGAGTAGTTTCAATGCAACTGTTCTCTGTAGTGTTTCCTGTTTCGTTATTGATTTTTCGTACCTTCAGCAAATTTTAATTTCTGAATCTGAATTTTCATTGTTTTAAGCGTTTGAATTTGAGATGATTTTCAGATATGTGATGAGCTAACTACAAAAATGCCAGTTTCATACTCTTACGAAGTCAGTAATAACAAGTTCTTCGGTCTGCTGCGAATTATTTTCAGATGGAAAGGGAGCGTATGGAGAGTTCTTTCTTTCGAGCTTTTTATTTACTTTGTTCTGTATGCTGCAGTCAGACTGGTTAAGGAACTTGTATTGACCGATAAACAAGTAGACTGGTTCGACGAGGTAAGATGTAACTTGAACTTAGTTTCGCCTATCGGCTCAAGAAATTTTTTTTATTTCTCGTGTTATACAAAAATTTTTGGTTAAGCTTAATTTTGTGTTTGGTATTATAAGTGTCAATGAACGTATTGAATACTTTTATGTAGGTCGTGTTGTTGTTTTTTCCGTCTTTAGATATGCGAGAGCTAGTGCCTAGTAATCAGGGACTAGGCTTTTTCTCGAAAACAATTTTTTTAAGACATCTTAGACCTTTTTTAAAACTTGGCCTAGAGATAACGCGGATGCCTATTTTACCCTATGGTATTTATGAAAATGGTATATTTATGGTATTTACGTCTATGGTATTTATGAAAATGAAAAAAAATGTCGGGAAAAGTTGAATTGTCGGATTTTCGTTTGTGTGTTTCTGTTTTGTCGGCTTAGTTGCCACATCGGGGAATTTTGATGTGCTTTCCTCAATTTTTCATCGTAGAGGCAAGTATTTTTTATATAATACCTTGTCGTTAATTGTCCTTGGTTTTCCTTTTTTTCGCTTAACTGTTTTCTTCGGCCTATTTTTATCGGCTTAGTTACCTAGTTTTTATCGGTTTTTACCTTATTTTTATTCGGCTTAGTCTCGCTTCAAAGGCGAAAAATGATTGATGTTTTCGGAAAATTCAGATAGTTTGTTGCAAAGATTTCTAAGCTGTAAAACTTGAAATGCTGAACATTTTTTTCATGACAATTTCTTGTGGCATTTTTTGTTTGCGGCTCAATGGGCGTCTACCGAATAGTCGGTTAAAATTAAATGCTTATTCAATACTGGTTGTTGTGTTGTTCGACAGTTTTTCTGAAATTGTTTTTATTTTTCCTCAATTTTTTTCGAATTTTGTAATTTCTACAATGAATTTACATGGAAATTGTGAAATTTGTTTTTTGTTTGCAGTCAATTTGTTACGCCTGAACAATGGCGTATATTTTCGGATCGCATTTGATGGGAAGCTTTGCTTCGCCACTGAAGAATTTGTTAAATGCGTGTAATTTTTGATATTATAAAACGTTTTCAACTGCCAGTTGGCTATGTTTTGTTAAATGAGTATAATGGTTATTTTAGTTCTGTGTCATTTTGAAGTCAAATATGGACACCATCCCGCTGGCTTTCCTGTTGGGTTTCTTCGTCAGCCAAGTATACTCAAGGTGGAATCAAATCTTCGACTCAATCCCGTGGCCGTTCTCGCTGATTGATTGGATGTGCATCACTCTTCAACTACCTAGAGATGAGCCAGATGGAAGAGAGAAACAAAGCAGGAACCAGGACGTGAAAATTGTGGTCCAAACGTGTTCGAGATATGTACATCTGAGCTTGGCAATGGTGTTACGAGACATCTGTTACCAATTCAGATCACTCATGAAAGAACGAAAACTTACCTTCGTAGATATGGGTGAGTTGAACAAATATCGGATTGAATTTGATAATTGTTACAGTTGGCAAAGGTTATCGAAAGAGAGGTGTTCTTTACCGGTTAATAGTTTGTCTAACACAAGCGCTGAATGGTTTTGACTAGAAATTCGACCATCTCCCCTTTGCTATTATTTTTTAACGTGCATGTTTTGCATATCAACCCTAAAACTTTTCTAAAACCGCTTTTTGCGCACATACCTACTAAAATTCAGGGAAAAATTGTGCGCCTAAAATATATTTTTTGGTCAAAGCTGTCCAAAAAGTGCCTAAAAACGCTTTTTTTGGTCTGTTTTTTTTTCTCGAAAAGTCGCCTGTGAAGCTAAAAATTTGGTCTTTTTAGTGCTTTGGGAGAGCTTGGAAAATCAATTTGGTTGGCCTAAACAAAAAGCAAGCTAAATTTTTAAACATTTATAAATAATGCACCCCCGCCCCCAGTAAAATCCTAGGTTTTAACCCTGGTTTTAACAATTTTATTTCGGGAGACAATTTCGACCCAATCCAGTAATTGTGATCATTTGTTGGCACTTGTGCTGCATATCATTTGCAATCAAATTGCAACTGTTGTCTGTTTTTTGATGGCGTTTGTTTGCAGATTGACAAGATACCGTAGCGCAGATGCAAATACGCGTGACTCTAAGTTTCCTTGTCTGTGGTTCGATTCCGGCACTTGAAATTTCAAAATTGTTTTTCTAATTTTTCTTTACTTTCCATGATTTTTTGAAAACATTTCGAGTTGTTTTTACCATTTTATCTGCTGTTTGCAAATTACAACTTTGTCTCTGCGTCAAAAAAGTGTTATGATGGTTTTGATCTTGTCATGTCGGGTTTGTAAGAGTTTTCCTTGAATTTTTTTGTTCTTTAGCATAAAGTTTCCTCCGTATTAAGAGGTTAAACTTGTGAAATATCAGCGTAGTAGCCTCATATTGCGCATTTGAGGGGCGAAAATTTTTGAGGAGTCGATGAAAATTGTTCCGACTCTTATATAGGTCCTGATCTTTTCTTCTTTCGTAAAATAATCTAATAACTGCAGAAAAAGCACTCATGAATGCCCTTAGGTATATGTAAATTTTTGAGCTGAATACAAGTTCATTTGCTCTTTCAATACGAAAGAGGGAATGGCGGGAAAAAGTGTGATCAGTTTTTGGTTTCGAAAATGGAATTAAGTTTTTAGATTTTCCAGCGTAATAAAAACTTAACCTAACACTCCAGTTTTCTTAAATTGAATCAATTTTATCAAAGTTCCAATCATAAACCGTTCTTGAAATTCAAAAAGCTTTTCAGTCATATGTTTTTTTCTTTGAAATTGGAAAGTTGAAGTTTTTTCAAAAAAACAAGTCAGTTTTTTTTTGTTTTTCTGCATTCATTGGCTCTTTTCCAACTGTCTGTTGGCTATGTTTTTAATTCGTTTTTGCATCGGGTCCCTAAAGTTTTGGGTACCTATATGTATCATGCTTTGCCGTTTTTTCTCTTGGCGGCAATGCGTTGCTTTTTTTTTCTCTGGCATACGAGCAAAAAAATTTGAGATTAAAAGAGAACAAACTTTGATTTTTTCGGAGGCGAGGTTTCCATTCAAGTTTTATTGATGAAGTTTTTATCCAATCTCTTTAAATACTGTTTTGATTGCGGCGTATTTTATAGTGTGATTTCATCCGCAGTACTGATAAATATAATAAAGTGCTCTTGTGCGAACTTAAATTTGGAATTCAGGAAGTTCTAATAAAGCCGTACGCAATAGCTTGACCATTTAAAAAATTCATTTTTGCAAGTTGAGTTAGTCATAATATTTTTTGTGCTTTAAGATTCTTCGACTTTCAACGTTCTTTGGATCTATATAACCTTTTTTAATACCTGGGCTGTATACTCGAAGGTTCTTAGAGTTCTCAGCAAGATGTCACGGGATAAAGATGCTTTCGGGACGAAGAAATTTTTGGTTTTCAACTGAGCAATTGAGCGAATATTTTCTTCGCAGTTTTGACATTTCCTCTGCAATTATTTAAGATAAAGGGCTGAAGTTTTGACACAGTCAGGACATGAATTGAAGAAAACTAGTCAAATGTTGCTTAGAAAGCATTTAGAGTATGTCATTGCTTCTATGGAAACAATACAATAGAAAAGCTGTTTCTAAAATTCGGGAAAGATAACAATCAAGATTTATGTTGCTTTGAGAATTTTCTGTTGCGTGGGCAGCAGTGGTTACGATATTGAAGCGTCTGAATTGCCAGCAGAAGGTTTGCTCGATTCTGGCGTCGACAAATTTTAGATCTTTCTTTGGCTCTTGTCTCAACTCCTCCTCCTCCCCCCCCTTACTTTTCAAGTTTTGCTTTTCAGTTGTCTAACGTGTTATTATGGCTGAAAGCGTGATGTTACGATGTAAAGTAAGTTTGTTCACCATGCAAAATTTCTTTACATGGTCACATTCTTCTTTACATCTTTACATTCTTCACATTAGCTTTCCAAAGAACGCTTTCGAGTCCATAAATACAAATTCTTTGTATTGTTTTCAAAAATGTTTAAAGAACTAAAGCACTTCTTAAACTAGTTGTTATTTATGACCAATTAACGCTCCCGAAGCAATATTTTTGAGAGTTGGTCCAACCAGGTCATTTTGAACAATTTCAAGCCTGTGTAAAAATTTCAACACCTTATTTAAAGTATTTGCCCAGAAATGTCCCGTGACTATATAAGTTTTCTACCTGTAGTTTCCTACATTCGACTTATTCAATTTTCTGCCAATTGTGTCAAGTTCATATATTTAAACCGGCTAACTTAAGGGGTCTAGGACTAAATCCCCCAGGATAAAATCCCCCAGGATAAAATCCCACCGGATATAATCCCCCAGGACTAAATCCCCCGTAGGACCAAATCCCCCTAGGACAAAATCCCCCAGTTTCTAGTCTAAAATCCCCCACATTCGAATTCAACAAAACAGCGACACTAAAACTTGAATTAAAAGATGAAAGATAATTAACAGAAAAGAAGTAGATAGATTAAAGACTAAAAACTAAAAGGACAAGTTAACAGCTATGGCTTTAAGATAATCCAACTCCTTGTAGTTAGCGGCAGAGCATACAATTCTCTTTATCCTCCCAAAATTATCCTCTTTCCTTGTATGGACTTTCTTGCCGAGCTGCATTTGAGCAAAACTGAACGATTGCAGTGATTGCTGCCTCTGAATTGCCTCAATGAACTTCCAAATGTCAGGATTTGACATTTGGAGCATAGATTCGAATCCACGGTGGAATCCTTCAAGGGCATTGTTTGTTCTGGGGAGGTCGTCAATGGTCCTGAAGTAAACGTTCCACATATCCATGTCGAATCGCGATTTCCGTCTCGTCGAGTTTCGCATTTCTTTGCCAACAAAGGTGTCCTCAAAATAATTCTTGATGTCGTCAGGAATGTGGCAAGTTACTAGTATTTGCTTATACCAGGCTTCTACATGTAAGGGTGGGGCAAACGCAAGAGCAGCTAAAAGACGTATAGCTAGGTTAAAGTCTTTGTCCTCGCGATACTGAACTGCATAACCAAATTCGAGTATCTTTCTGTAAATGGCTTGCGAGAAGTGAAAGAAACAACCTTTGATTTCTTTGTCTGGAAAGTTGTCACCCACAGAATTAATGCAAGCCATTTCAAAGTCCATCATGATTGAACTGGGGGGGACGATATCTGCTTTCAAGTTTGACCAGAAAGCGTTGTACGTTTCTTGTCGTTTATCGGGGAGCAGGGCATAGATACACGGAAAAGTTGTTCCATCTACGAAGCAGCGGACAGTGTATACTTGGTAGAAGTTATCAGGGCAGCTTTTAAAGGTTCCATCGATGAACCAGTTTCCATACGAGTTTAAGATTTCGATATTTTTGTTGGTTGCGAACACCAAATAACGTTTACCTGTTCCCGGAACTGTCGAATCTTCCAGAAGAAAATCGAATTCTGTTGGGATCGGTGGCTGGCTACGGTTTTCATGTCGGATTCTTCTTATCCTTCGTTTGAGGCGAGGCACCACCGGCATCTTCGATGAGCATTCTGGTGTGGCTTTCGCCAGGGCATTTGACAGCACCTTTTGTGTCGAAGAGTCGGTGCAAGCCGCTGCGTCCGCTTTGATTTGCTCGTTAAGTGTATACGTTTCCATTAAGGCGTAGTCTGGGCCGTGTGTGTGTTCATGTGGCGACTATTTGAGGAATTCGCCCTTTGAAGTCCATATGCTTGCCTTACATTGTTTCTTTGATCGCCGCAACTCGCACTCCCACTGAATAGAATTGACTAACTCTCTTTTCTTATAGTAAGCGTAGTTATTGTGAAGCGCTTTCTGGCCCCCTTTGTTGCTTAACACAAATTTGACTTTATTATTTTGCATTGTAATTGTTTTGAATGAGTCGGTAGTTAACAAAATGCACGTGTTTTACAAACTAAACAAAATTTTGCGTCAAGAAGCAAACGTTTAATTGCTAATGGGGGGATTAAATTGCGACCACGCAAATTGGTATCACACCTGTTTCACTAATCGTTTTGCTGGGACTATATCGGGTGTTAATTTGTTTATCAGCCAACATAAATTAACGTTAAATTAAGTTCAAAATCATGTTCAAAATTTCGGACCCCCCAAAATCAACATTCCTTGATCCTAGAGGTCTGAAATTTTGACACAATAAAGAAGATGGTTTTCTAGGAATCGGGGACTTCCTTTCACACCATCCCGCACCCCCACCTTAGTGGAAGCGCGGGATTTTTTACCCCTAGGGGTAAATTTAACAGACCTTTACATTGATTGCACAAAATGTCATATTTGGGATTCGAACTCACGCTGAAGGAATCAACATTGTTTTCCATTCACTTGTCGTACTGACTGTGCCACGTGGCTTATTAATTTTTGCAATCGAAGCTCATTCTTATAGGAAGTCAACTGAATGCTGGAATCTTAAAGTTGCTAAAAAGTCACGTCAAAATGGCGATGCATGTATAAATGGAAGTCAGTTCAAAATGGAATCAATAGAAACATGAAATTATATAATGTGTACAGTTTGATTTCCATTATAGTGAATAAAATATGGGGGATTTTGTCCTAGAGGGATTCGTTCCTATGGGGGATTTAGTCCTGTGGGATTATATCCGGTGGGATTTTATCCTGGGGGATTTAGTCCGCGAGCGTAACTTAAGGTGTATATCATCAGGAAATTGTCTTACGGTCCACTTAAATGGTCCAGTTTATTGAGCGAAGTTTTTATTAGTAAAAAGTTACTTTTTGCTATCTTTGTTCTTCAGAAATTGAATTTAGTTTATATTAATTCCACTCTTATGCTTTTGTTATTAAGTTTATTCGAATGTCTTTGAGTTTAGGGCAGCATCCTGCAATCCAAATGGATTCGTTCGCTGTCCTCTCCGAGTTAGCTTAAAAAAGTTTAAATTATATTTGGTTAATATGCCGTTTTGTAACAACGAGAAATTAATTCTTCTTCTACAAATCATCATAGAACTACGATCCTAAAATGAAATCCAGGCACTATATTTTGTTTTCAGCAGATCCCTTAAAATCATTTCCGAGTTAGCTCTCTTAGCTACTAAGTCTCTTTGGTATATAAAACAAGGACTTATTACATGTATGCATCAAAATTAGCCAAAAAGAAAAAATTAACGTTAGGTCTGGCAAGTGACTGAGTACAGTACACAGTGTTTACAGCTATTTTCAGCGGTACTATTTACTTTTTTCATCAGATTGATAGGAAACATTCTCCGATAAATTGTTCGTATGAAACAATTCAGATGTAATTTAATGAGGGCTTTCTGTCTTTTTTGCAACGAAACTAAGCTTTTGGACATATTTTTGTTGTTAGGTCTGGCAAGTGACTTTGAGATGCGACAGCTGTACAGTACACAGGAGTTGATGCCACATGAGTTGGAGAAGCTCAAGTGGCCGAAGGGGAAAAATGAGGAAAAGAGGACAGCGAGCTGGAACTGGTGGCTGCCTTGTGCATGGGCCACCAGACTCATCAGGGACGCCTACGACAGGGGCTTCGTCGACAACAAAGAGAACATGGCACTAGTTTACCAGGTTAATTGCAGTCCCAATTAAACATTACAGCGCTGATCTCGCATAAATATCCATGCGTTAATAATTCCTTTTTTGGTACCGCGACAACTCGCAACAGAAGACAAGCCGCAACAAATTACAACTTGCAAAATTTAGGAAAGCGACAACTAGAAAAGTTTGAAAGATAATTTATAAGTTAAGAAATTTTGTTTAAGGTAGCCAGTGTGCAGCGAGTATATTGCGAGTTGTCTTTTAATGCGAGTTGTCTTTTGTTGCGATTTGTGGCATTACGCCTTTTCCATCGGCTAATCATTCATTGTGTTAGTAGCTACTGTTTGATCGGCAAATTATTAGCAGAGATGTTTTAATTAATTTGTGTGTGTGTGTGTGTTTGCAGAAGATACACGACTACAAGGCACTCCTGGGAGGTCTGATTGCCTATGATAGTATCCCGGTGCCATTGCCATACACGCAGGTCAGTGCTGTTGTACGAAGAGATTTTCGAATTGATTTGACGTTGTTTGTCCTCCGAAAGAAAGCTTGCGAAATAGCCTGTTTTTCATGTCCCATTTATTGTTTATCGATTTCCGGGTATGAGTGTTTTGAAATGCTTGTGAACTTTATTTTCAAACCTGGACGTCACCGACAATTTGTTTTAAATAATGATGTCTATGACAAATGAAGTTATTAATGCTTTGGATATCTTTATCGAAAGTAGATTACTAAATATATACTGACGAGACGAGAAAAATTTGGCAGAAGGATTGAAGCGAATATTCATAGAAACCGGTTGTAGATCAAGTACCACAAAATGAATTGACTACAATGATTTCAGAGAACAAATTTAAAAAATATATTTCAAGAAATAATCCCACTTGATTTAGACCCAATTGTCTTGCCATAGAGACAATTTCTTCTATTTTCGAACCCGAATCGCGACTGAAATGGCTTCAATTTGATACCACGATGTACGAGATTTCTTTGAGTTGACTGTAAAAAATCACTTTTCGTTAAGGGGGTGGTCGGAGCAATAAGTATTCATAAAAAAAGTAAGGAACAGCGTTTGATGATCAGTTTGTCAAATAAGTGATTTTTTTTTTACAGATTGTGCGATCGTTTCTTGAACTAATTGAAAGTTTAATTGTGAGTGAATGATTTAGGTAGTGTCTATCGGAGTGTACACGTATTTCTTCCTGGCCCTGTTCGCCTATCAGAATGTGACGAGTGTGAGTTCGGACAGTGGTTATGACAGGTACTTTGTGCCCTCCACTCTCCTCCTCCAGTTCCTCATCTACTACGGGTGGTTCAAAGTGGCAGAAGTGCTTCTCACTCCTTACGGCAGGGATCTGGACTACAACTACGACATGGTTGGATACTTCGCACTTCATTTAGAGGTAACCTATACTTAAAAATACATGCGCTCTGATGATAATGATAAATTTATTGATAAGATGATAATGATAACTGAAGCGAGGTTGTTTTTAACCCAGGTAAAGGCCGCAGTAGATCTCTCTCTCTCTCTCTCTCTCTCTCTCTCTCTCTCTCTCTCTCTCTCTGTAGAAGTTTAAGAAGTTTTTGTTTTAATTTCCCAGTTTTCAGCAGAAGATCTCTGTGATGATATCAAAGTCGCTGCAGGCCTCTGACAATTTTTCGAGAAGGCCGCTTTAGGCCTCTACCCGAGTCTTTCGAGTTACTTCACGATGAAACCAGATAAACTACACTATGACGGTGAAAATCGAGTATTTGATGTGATGGAACAATCTGCAGAAGAAAGTTATTCCGGACCACCTTCGAATTCCAGATGAGGGTGCAAAACAATGATAATGATGATGATGATGATGATGTATCAGCAGACCTTGAGGACCGATAGTGCAGTGGTTACGTCTCCGCTGTTCAATCCGAATGTCGCTGGTTCTAGGGTCACCATGATCTGTGCTCGTTGCTTTAGGTTGGGCAACATTCTCCTGCCCAGAAAAAAAGCGTGTAATTCTTAAATCCGCCTCAAAAGCGGCGACCAGCTCGTTTGTTGGTCTTTTCTCTTTTAGATAATATTTGCCCGAGAAGATCTAACGTGGGAGAATGCGTTTAACTGTTTATTCTATACTATGATGACTAATGTATGTTTGCATTTGTGCGTTGTGTGTTTTAGCAGTCTAGAGCTCACGTGGAGTACTCGTACGACATGGAGACCTTTCTGAGAGAGGATCCTCACAGCATCACTCGACTGGCCAGGGTGCCCAGGGAAGACTTGTTCGTCACACACATCGAGAGCCACATGTTCGGCTCACTAGTCGACGGAATAGTGTAAGTTTATTAAGTGCTAATGAACTAAATGGGGCTCTTTACAACTCCCATCCCCCTCACATTCGAACTCCATTTTTGAAAAACTAATTTCAGGTTCTCATAATGTAATAAAATTTGCATGGTGAACAAACTAACTATAGTGAACACGTTTGTTCTCCATACCTTACTTCGTAACATCACGCGTTGAGCCGTAATAGCACGTAAGACAATTGAAAAAATAGAAAATGTGAAATGTGGGGGGAAAGTGGAAAAGAGCCCTAAGTGGTTTATCAGATATTAGGTCTTTGTTATTTTCCGTTAAAAATTGTTCACGCTCAAAGTTAATTTTCCGCGATTTGACACTTGATTTTTTTCAAGTTCAACTCGAATTCATTTGTTAAAATAGAGGCAGATCATGCTCTCCAACAGCAGAATGCACATGGCGAGTTTTAGTTTTAAAATAATGGACTTTTTTAAATTTCTCAGCGGACTAAAAATGCATCCTGGCCCAGTGTTTATCATAAAAGATCTGAAACGTGATATATTTCTCCAAAATTCGGAAGTGTATATCTCGTAAATTTTCTCAAGAATGATTTGACTCATTTCACGTACGAATATTAGTCACGATTTTTTGCGTGGTGGATAATTGGTATTTCCTTAGAAAATTGTTTTCAATTTGGTCTTGTCGAAGACTCACACTGCCCCCTGTTGGTAGAAGGGGCATGATTCCAGTAACTGAGTCCGCCAGAGTTTCTCTTGTCGTCGTCCGTTTTCGTGAAACTTGAAGCCTTCAAACGGGGTAATGCTTTAAAAGCATGCAGTGCTATGGTTTGAAATTACTCATTTATTCGGTATCAGTGAACCTCTTCCGAGGGAAAGTAGTGAATGAACACTCTTAGGCTAAAAGCCTGTGATCAGTTTTAATAGCTTGCTCAATTTATGATCTTGTAATATATTATTCAGTCCGAGGAAGTTAACCACTTCAACGGGACTGGGCGATAAGTGAGAGTGAAATCAATGGTGTTGTATGTAAGTTACAAGAGAATAGGTGGTTAGTGTCATTGGGAGCGTTAAAGCACTTGGGACGTTTGTCTGGTGTTTTTGTGTCTAATCGGTTAAGGTAAGACTTATTAAACAGAGGAAATAGCCAGAGCGAAATTGTGCCAAGCTGCAGCGGGCCTTGCGGTCAAGTTTCAGTGAAGAAGTGGATATTGGGGTGTTGCATAATTTGCAAGTTCTGAGTTGGAGACCTGTTTGATGTGGGTAGACACTGATCGTGTGTGTAGGACTTTTTGCACGCACTCTATGTACTTTTTTCATAATTGGTTTCGATCGGTTGGAATCAAATCAGGGGTGCGGCGTTGAACTGTCTGTTGGTTTAACTTCTGAGGGGGATGCTTCAATGATTTTTCGCTTGATTTACTTATTCAACTCGCAGCTGAAGAATTATTGCAAGGAGATGAGTTTCATCATTGGGTTATTGGGAGTATTTGCCATTCTGTGCGTGAAGTTTGTTTTTATTCTGGTACAACCAGTACTTATGGCGGAATTTTGCACAGGCTGTAATTTCTGGTTAGAAGTGTTACCTGTCATCTGGAGTTCGGAAGTTCCAAATGGGACAAAGTGTTATTTTCTCCTATTATAAGTCACGCGGAGTTGTTTTGAGACTGTTAAATGAGGCTGCTAAGTGTTAGGGGTCTGAGAATCGGGGTGAGATTGAGGAAAAAAACGTTTGCAAAGGAAATTTTTGTTATAATGTTCATGGTTTGTAATTACAGGGGCGATGATACAGTGAAGACTAAAATTTCGTTGGTGATGTTTGCGGAAAGAGCGAAGGAAATGACTCCGCTTTCTCGGTCTATGCGAATTATTTTAGTGTAATTTCCGAGGTATTGGCTGTTTCTGTTGCAATTGAGCTTGTTTCTTTTTTGCAGAGCGGCATTGTGAATTTTGTTAGTAGCAAGTTAGAGGGCAAGCTCTTTTGCCTGTTCTCCGTAGCCGATGCGTTTAATGAGTTTTATTGGGGTTCAATGGATTGAATCCGGGGTCGAGTTATTCTGAGACTCACGGTTTTTGTTTCTGGGCTCATAGGGGCCCGGTAAATACTCGATGTTTTAAGCGACGAGGTTAGATACAAATTGCTGGGATTGGGAATGGAGTTGTTTAAACTGTGGCTAGTAGAAGTGTTTCTGGAAGAAGTGCTGGGTGTAGGTGATCCGTGGTTAGCCATGGGGTAGTCTAGAGTTGGGACTGAACTTTGAGTGTATATATACAGGTAATAGTTTCAGGTGGTAACAGTTTACATAGTAGAAGAATTTTTGGTGATGGTAGATGGATTGCAGTCCACTACATTTAAATGGATCCAGCACCAGCATTGGTACCATACACTTTCTTGCCTGCATTATTATATGGTTCTATTTAAATGTGTGTCCCTGGTTGCCACGAAGTATAACGAGTGCTCAAGCGAGTTCTAATTACACTCTTCTCAAAAACAGTATTTTGCTGTGCACTGCCCATTTTGGAAGGCGGGGAGGGGTGGTGGGGGGATATGGGGGGTTGTGTTGTTGCGTGTAGTACAGGTTTTAGAGTTCCGATTCTTGCAAGTGTCCTCGTTAGAACCCTTTTACACCACACTTAATGGTTCTGAATGGAAATTTTCATTTCATTTTTACATTTTTTTTTCGGTCTGATTTCGAATCAGTATTTAAAGCAGTTAAGCATGACACTGATAGATCTTCAGTATGATTTTTTTCCTCTTTCCAACTATTCAACTTCCAAAATTTGCACAATGAGAATAGAGCGATTTTTTAAAATAGTCCCTCAAAATGTATGTGATAGCGTATAAATTATTTTCAGAAGTATTGTTCATTCAAACGTAAGTGTGCTTGAGCTTTTGAGCTGGAGCTATTCTTTACGGGTATATTTATGGATCATTTTACAAGTAAGGGTTGTTCCGACCGGTTGATATGGTTTGGGCCAAGTAATTTTAACTCAAAGTCAGCATCGGCAAAGAAATCAAGAGCTTCGAGTGACATATCACATCGAGACGCTCGCAGTCATTGGTAGAATGGTTTTTGTTTTAAAATTGATGTGAGTATTGCGTAATGTAAGCAAAGTTTTTCGTTTTCCCGATACTATTTTTGCGACGTCAAGTTTGGTCGGAACAATCTGTGCTAATTACACAGCAACAGCAAATTGTTGCTCTTTTTTTCTGTGATTATTCAATTTTTCAGAGATATTCCCGGCTTCATCATGGACACCTCGGTCACCCTATGGAAGCTGCCCAAGTCGGTGTGGAATAACAACCTGACTTCGAACAGACAGAAAAACCAGGGAAGCAACAAGGGTCAACCAGGCCCCAGTGGCAGTGGCAGTCATGCTATTAAAGATAATGCAAGTGACCCACAAATAGTCTACATTAAGAACACACACGCTAACTCGGGAGCTCTCGACGGGAGAGGAGACGATGATCACGCGACTGTTAACATTGCACAAGAGTCTATTTGATTTTTCTGTCTACTTCATATCATGTTTATTAGCTCTTTTTCTCTTTCGCTTTTTGAAGCTCGGGTTCGCTGTTATACGGTTAATGCCGAATTGTTGGCAATATCTTTTTCGGTCAACAAATATGAAAGAAGTTAGTTAACCTAAGACTGCTCATTTCGACGTCGGGTTTCATTTTCTCACTGATTTTCACACGTAAAAATTGTCTACAAAAAACGTACTTGCCTAAAATGATATTGTTTTTGACCTATTGCTCACGGTCATCTATATTGCCAACAATTTGGCTTTAAATATAAAAAAAAGTTAAATGCCGCCAACTGAGGAGTGCTTGCTTTCAAGGTAAATTACTCATACCAGTAGACAGAATGCGCAAAAATAGTGTTAGCCAATCAAAAATGAGTAATTAGGAATCTGAAAGAAATAAGCTGCAAAATCATTCAGTTTCAGACGATATGAGGTATATTTTTTGATTGGGAATTTTCGCGCATTGTGTTGTTTGAGAATAAAACCCCGTGTTCCATTTGCTAGTTTGTTAATTAATTGATTGAAATATTTTATCTGCTAGGAAAGTGTTCAACGTTTAGCCAGAGAGCCAGTTAACTAAGGTTTTAATTATTCCTTTTAATGTTTCGGATTCGTTGCCTTCTGGTTCAGGCTTCAAAATGGCTGGAACTGGCTATTAAATTTATTGCCAAGTTCCACGGACCCAAGCTGGAAAACACTTATTTGTTCTGCCATTTTTCTCGGATATGTTTGTCCAAAAATTCGACTCAGGGTTTCCGACTGAGTGCCAGACTCTTCAATCGTGCCGATATTAAATCAAAAATGATTAGACCAAAAAGTTGTATATATAAATAATTTTATATATTTCACGCTCTTTATGTGAGCTTATTATGAGTAATGACTGTTGTGAAGACTCTTATACAGGTCTTGGATTTTTTTTTTGGGAAAAAGTCTTAAAATGCTCTAATAACTACAGATGTGCATTCATTCATAGTAATGCATTTATGAATGCACTTGGGTACATATACAATTTTTGAGTTCAATTGTCATTTATGTGCTGAAAGTTACGTAAATAGTACTCTCCAAATACGAACATAGAAATGGCGCAAAAATCATGAACGATTTCTAGTTTCCATAGTGGAATTTAATTTTTTGACTTCCAGCGGAATAAAAACTTACCTATTGATCCAATTTTCTCAAGTTGGGCTAATGTAATCAAAAAAGCGCCAATCATAAATCATTCTAGTTATTCCAACAGCTTATAGGGCATCAAATTTTATCTTTGAAATTCGAAAGTTGAGATTTTTTAAAAGTCAGTGTTTTTTTATCTGTTTACTTGCGTTTAGTACTTTAGTTGGCTATGTTTATAAATATATTTACATACATAATGTTTAGATGACTCTGCTTTTATTTGTGTTTATGGTTATATAATATAAAAAGTTATGAATATTTATATAATATAAAAATATGTGTAATATGTATGTATGTATATATAAAGATATAGCGTGCGCTCTGCCGGTGTTGTTTCGGCAGAGCGCACTCGGGACCTCAAATCCAACACCGGCAGAGTGCACAAGCTCCAGCGTAAATTTGGACAACCTATCTGTACAAAAAATTTTGTGGGAGCTTAACAACGAGTTTTATTGTGAGAATCAATCCATTTATCAAATTTTTTGATTCTTGAAAAAGAGTAACTCTTAACATTTTTAATTATACGTGCGCTCTTTAACTATACGTTGTTTTTTTTTTCAACCGTACTCTCGAATTTCAAAATAAAACAAAGACATGCACAGACTGATAAGTTGGCTCTCAAACAGGTTCTGATGCTTCTGTTCATCATCAGAGATAATTTTTTTTGCATTAAAAAGTTGCGACTGTTTTTTTGTCATTGGCAAAAAAGTAGTTATTTTTTTTTCAAAACAGATTTTTTTTTGGCGCACAAAAGGATTTGGGGTGGGGGAATTATTTGAAATCAATTTTTTCTGCTTTCAATTGGTCTAGTTCTGGGCTTTGAATATAATGCCTGTGCGCCAAGCAATTTCTCCATGAAAAAAAAAAATTTTCCTGTTACAAGCTAAAAATGACCCTGATTATAGTTTCAAAGTTTTGAAAATCTTCAACAACATTTTAGAACACACATATTCTACTAGCTGGTTGTGAAAATAAAAACAGGATTCGGAGCGTTGGCTGACCTTATGGTACTTTCGAAGTAAAATTAAATAATTTTTTATTTAGTCATGCTCGTTGAATAATGAAAAAAAAAGCAAACGGCAGAGCGCACTTATAATTTTTTTTGGCGAAAACACTGAAAGGAAATCATGTTTTTTCTTGACGGTAATCCAGGCTAGGTTGCTTAAGTCAAATACAGATGTTTAACTATTGTGAAAAATTAATCCAACAGGGTTTTCATAGGTCATTTTGGCAGAGCGATTTTACAACTATTTTTTTTGGCAGAGCGCACTTATGAATACTTTTTAATTTCTGTAATAAAAGACAACAAACGTTTTTTTGACGAAGTGAAACGTAACTAAAGTGTACCAATTAAAAGATTACAGTCCCAAGGTGCGCAAGTTTTTGACTTCTGTCAGAAAAATGAGACATGTAAAAATTTTTGGCAGAGCCACATACAGCTAAGTTTTGACAGAGGGCACTAAAAGTAACAGCCAGATTTTGAAGGTCTTCCTATGGAGTCTGGTTTTTTCTACTTTAAATTGCTCTAATAAGGACTAGTATCATGTTTTGGCATCATTTGTAGCTCTGTATATCAAGATCCAGTGCTTCAAATGACACACAAAATGGAAAATTTCATTTTTTTTTTTGCGAATTTGAGGATCTCTTACTACTTTTTTCAAATGTGAATATTTGATAATATCGAAAAATCGAATCTTATCGAAAATTCTTCAGCTTATCTCGAATAATCTTCGAGTTAAAAGTTTTCAATATTTTCTAAAAAAAATTGTTTTTTTTTTCTTACGAGTAGGAGGGTCTAACGAACTTTCTTAAAATATTTTTTCTCCATACTCGCTTCAACCTGCTATAGTAAAAACATTGCAAAGTAATCTCAAGTGGTCTTTGAGTTTTAGCTCCTCAAAAGTTGCAAAAAGTTTTAAAAAAAAACTAAAGGCGTCCATTTTGCTAGTTTTCAGGACTTATATTTTTTTTCCCTAATTTTTGATTTTTCTTGAAACTGTGTCACTTAAGAGTCATTTTTTTGGGTACCATCTGTTATCGCAGTCTTTAAGATATGTAGAATTTGTGATTCTACCTAAACTTATATAGCCGGGAAATGCAGATTTACAATTGAATTAAAATCTGATTACATCGATATAAGCAAGGTTGGAAATATTTAAAGGGAGTCTGATCCAAATTGTTCGCAAAAGGTGCAAAAGACTAAAAAAGATTTTGGGAAACATTCGGAAGTGGGTTGTTTTTACTAGATAATTTACTAGATACTTTATCGAGGAAAACGATCATATGTATCGGAGTTCATGTCCAAAAAAAATCAAATTGCACCGGAAAAAAGAAAAAATCAAATTGCACCGGAAAAGAGGGGTCTATACATAAAGTACTTTTCCTGAACTATACATAAATAAAATTTACATACCGGCTTTGAGGACTCGTCGCTTTGAGGAATACGCTTGATAAGTTCACTCATGAAGACCTGTAAAAGAATTTAATTAAATTACAAAGAACAATGTTATATACGTTTATAAACAGTCTTTGTCGCAGGTACTTAAAAGCCAACACCTCGCCTGTCGTATCTCGGATTTTTCTCGCTAATGTCTGAAATGAATGTCTGATGAATTAGGTTGAGCTAAAATTTACCTTGAAGTTAAAACGCAAGAGGACAATGTAGCAACTGCACAAACCCCGACGTCAAGTGAATCCGTCAGTTCCAAGAATTCCTTTTGACAGCGTTCTAAGATTTGACAGCGTTCTATATCGATGAGTTTGGAAAAGCAAGAGATCCAGATTATGTCGAGAATACACTCAAAATGTCTCACACTCAATGTACACTCAATGTCAATACACTCAATGTCGAGAATACACTCAAAATGTCTCACACTCAATGTACACTCAATGTCAATACACTCAATGTCTCACAGAATACACTCAAAATTAGATGCGAGGAAGTTTGTTTGTCTCCAGATCCAGATTATGTCGAGAATACACTCAAAATGTCTCACACTCAATGTACACTCAATGTCAATACACTCAATGTCGAGAATACACTCAAAATGTCTCACACTCAATGTACACTCAATGTCAATACACTCAATGTCTCACAGAATACACTCAAAATTAGATGCGAGGAAGTTGTGTTCCGTACCCTCATGAAAGTCTGAAATGAAATGAAATGAACTTAAATCAATTAAATCAGGCGGGAAACAATTTACTATGAACTTAAATTAGGCTGAATTAGTCATTTCACAGGCGGGAAACAATTGAATTGCCTTCTTTCCATAAATACAGTAGGGAAAAAGAAACCCGCGCCTTAACCCCCTAATTGGAAACTTTTTGTTACTAGACTGTACGCATCCACGCTGGGATATAACAAAACAACTTGTTGAATGTAGTCCCTCCATCGAACTTTCAGAAATTCGAACGATTCCGCCGCATTGTTGTGATAAACTTATTAAATAGTTGTCGCGAGAAAGTTGAGCATGACAGGCTCAATTCGAAATTTTGAAAAATTAAATTTTCTCCCAAAATTGCGTGTTGAGTGTATCTTGCGTGTTGCGTGTAGCGTGTTGAGTGAATCTTCTTGCCAATGAAGAGTCGTATCGTGTCTCTTTACCACGTTAAGACGTCTTGTTACTCTCATGTTTTCTATCGACAGTTTTTGTGAACACATTTGTCGATATTGAAGGACAAAAGACTTTGGCCTGACCAAGTCTACATTGCCTAATAATTCGGCACGGTGAACAGTAGGCCTAATGACCTCAAAAATTTTTAATCTGATTCAAAATGTGATTTATGGAGAAAGTGAAACTTGCTTGATATATATACCCCAGAGCTCAACCGGAACGAGTACGCTAGTAAAATTTAAAAATTTCACTTTTTGAGGGCCAATTTTGAGCATCAGAAAATCAATAAAATCAATTTTTTGACATGAAGACGTTAATTTTTTGTCATAGTTGACAAAACTTCATAATAAGCCTCAGTCTTGTTCTAAGCGTTAAAAAAAAATTGGGTCAAAATTTTTGTTTTTTTTGTTGAGATTTCAGGTAAGGAAAGTACCAATTTTTGAAAAAACGATGTTTTAGACCAAGTATGGGCTGATAACTTTTTTTTTGATATGAGTTTTGGCTTAAAAAAACAATTCAAGTAGTAGTCAAAAGCACAGGCCACAAAATGAAAAAAACTAGAAGGTTTAAAAATCTATAAAAACTGAAAAAAATTCAAATAACTGGAGTAAAAATATAGCCAATTTTAAGGCTAATTTACAAGCATTTGAAAAGACTTAAAATCTCTTTTTCGACGTGATGGCGAAATTTCTATGAAAAGTTTATAGGTAATCATAGTTGATCCTACTTAATAGCAAGCTTTTAAAAGAAAAATTTTGACGATTTTCTTTTTCGTTATTGAGATATGGCTCCATGGAGGTGCACTTTTTTGAAAAAACGCAGTTTTTTAAGAGTTTTTCCTCTATAACTTTTTTTTTACTCGCTAAATATCCCTAAATTGTCCTTTAAAAAGTTGCTTTAGCTATATTACAATTAAAAAATATGTTTTCAATGTCTGAAAAAGACCGAAACTATCCAAAAAACCCATTTTAAAAAAAAATATATTCCATTTTTTGGTCACTTTTTCACCCTCTGATGGTGACAAAAAACGATTTTTCGATAAGAAGAAGACTTTTTTTCGAAACGTTTTACGAGAAACAACTTTGGTCCTACTTGCGACTCATCTTTTAGAGGAAGTTTGAGGTCAATTTTTTTTTTGGTTGTCGAGATCTGGCTCCATGGAGTTGCACTTTTTTGAAAAACGCAGTTTTTTACAAGTTCTTCCTCTATAACTTTTTTTTCACTCGCTAAATATACCTAAATGTTTCTTTAAAAAATTGCCTTAGCTATAATACATTTGAAAAAAATAATTTCGATGTCTGAAAAAGACCGAAACTATCCAAAAAACCCATTTTCTAAAAAAATAATAATCCATTTTTTTTTTTCATTTTTTCACCCTCTGATGGTGACTGTAACATTCGCCCGGAAGATACATATCGACGGATAACAAAACTAAGTCTTAAGACGACTGGCTAGCGTCTAAACAGAGCTTTGCATGTTTTTCACCGTCTCTACCAAGCCAGTACTTTTCGGTGGTCTTTTCCAACATCGGGTCGACAAAAACGCTACTGCTCTCCGGCTTCGACCAGAACGCTCAAATTAACTTAGTTACATGCAAAATTAGTGAGCTCATGGCTGGGTCTCAGTATCCCCAGACCACGAGGTCACTCCTAAAAACAGGGCTACTACTTATTATACTACTATTGTTTTTGTTCAGTAGATAAAAATCATCATCTCCATCGAAGATGGATCAACCCTTTCCCCCCCAACTCTTAGCACCTCATCCTTGCCAAAACTGATCCAAATATCAATTAAATTCAAGTCAGGACATGACAGGATGCTAAAATTCAATACAAGTTCATAAAAGTTCCCGTCCCGAGACCCTTCCGGATTCTTGAATCCGGCGAATCAAGCTCCTTAACCTCAAGTTCACGCTAACTCGGAGGGCTGGTTTTTACCCTTCACCGTTGTTCGCAACGGCCTTGCAACTATTGTAACAGCACAATAGTTGCAACTCGGAACGTCCTCTGCTGTTCTGTCGTTCGTTGTTGTTTTTTAGTCTCGATTTTCGTACTGTTCGCAATCGCAGATAAAAGTTGTTCTGTTTCTTTTTGCTATTTTAGCTAAAATGGCCGTTTCTGACGTTTCTCAGAAATATGACGTCATAATTCGATTTTTTAAAATTTAGAATTCCAGAATCTTCTAGCCTTCACCGTTTGGCCAATCGTTCAAATAACGTCCCTATCCGTTCCAAATCGCCAATTCGGAAGGCTTGCTGCTAAAATCCCGAATTTTGCAGAGACTGCATTTTGGCCATTCTGGTCGAATGTCACATACTCCCCGGACAGTCCGGTCAATGTCCTCATTGAATCGCGCAATGTTCATAAAATGGTTACAGTGCCCTCGAACAGAATTTACAAATTGCACGGAATTACTTTTATCCACGTCATATCAACTCACTGCAGAATATAAATGGCATCATACTACATCACTATAGCCTTCAAATTCTTTCATCAATCTGCACATTGAGAATATAACCTAAGATAAAACATGTTTTCTGACTTCCAGTGTCTATGTCCCGATTAAAACTTTTTCTCTTAGATTTAAAAAGTGTTGGCTTGCAGGACAGTCCTGCCAACCAACAAGCTAAAATTATCCTACTATGCTCCTTCCCTTCGGAAATCTTGCTTGTTTATTGTCCTGAATATTAAAACTAAGAAACTTTGTGGTTAGAAAGAACAATGCACCCATCTCCCTCTTCAAGAGGTCACTCAAGTCTTTCATATCACCACAAAGTGATCAGTTTTCTTAAGTGATTAAAAACAATCATGCAGGCTGGAATATTTAAATATACTCTTTTCTTAAGCCTTTCTAAATAAATAATAAGTGTCTCTAAAGCCACTTCCGCTAAAATCAAAATGCAAATTTATAAATGCAACAATTTCAGAACTCAACAAAATGTTTCAGTTTTCAATTACAACTTGGTTGCTTGGTTTCTCACTTGAGTTTTTCACACACATAAAACAATTCTGAGTTTTATTTTTCTTCATCATTTCTTTGTTCTCTTCTTTTTTCGTCGTTTAGAAGTTCTAAAACTTCTAAATTCTTCTAATTTTCTTTTTTCTTGCCTCTTGTTTTCTCGACCATTCATCAATGTTCCATTTCCTCCTCCTGCGATGCTGACTCCGCGCTTTCGGTTTCCGTGTCTTGTAGCACGTCGTTGACTATCCTGACGCTGTTGGAAGCCGTCCTCCAACACTTCTGCTCTTCTACCCTCTGTTTACAACAAGGTAGGGGATCCACGTTGGATTCTCTGTTTCTACAGAAGCTGTTGTGGAGACACAACGTCACGTTTCTCTCCAGATCTTCTTTCAGCATCTCTGCCTTCTCATTTCCACTACGCTCACTCGTTCTGGAAATTCTTTTCACAGCGGTGGTCACTGCATTCCGATGAGTCACGAAAGCTCGCTTGAAAGCTCCTGCCCCAATGTCCAGCTGATATTCACTGTACACTCTGCCATGTTTCGACATATGCTTTTTCGCATACTCGTACAACCATGCAGTCATGTTAGCTCTGAACCAAGGCATCAATCGTTTTCTCGCCCATATCTTCTTCACTTCCATTGGAATGTTTAGAACTTTGCACATTGTCTCAAAAAGATCTAAATCTTTTAGACAATCTAATTTCTGCAATTGTTCTCTCGTCGGTTATGGCTATATCGATTCACTTGATGTTTATTTCCCACATAGAATGATTTTCAATGGCTATATCGATTCACCTGATGTTTATTTGCCACATAGAACGATTTTCAATGGCTATATCGATTCACCTGATGTTTATTTGCCACATAGAATGATTGTCAGTGGCTATACTGATTTACCTGATGTTTATTTGCCACATAGAATGATTTTCAATGGCTATATCGATTCACTTGATGTTTATTTGCCACATAGAATAATTTTCAATGGCTATATCGATTCACCTGATGTTTATTTGCCACATAGAATAATTTTCAGTGGCTATATCGATTCACCTGATGTTTATTTGCCACATGGAATGATTTTCAATGGCTATATCGATTCACCTGATGTTTATTTGCCACATAGAATGATTTTCAGTGGCTATATCGATTCACCTGATGTTTATTTGCCACATAGAATGATTTTCAATGGCTATATCGATTCACCTGATGTTTATTTGCCACATAAAATGATTTTCAGTGGCTATATCGATTCACCTGATGTTTATTTGCCACATAGAATGATTTTCAGTGGCTATATCGACACCTGATGTTTATTCGCCTCATAGAATGATTTTCAGTGGCTATACTGATTCACCTGATGTTTATTTGCCACATAGAATGATTTTCAATGGCTATATCGATTCACCTGATGTTTATTTGCCACATAGAATAATTTTCAGTGGCTATATCGATTCACCTGATGTTTATTTGCCACATAGAATGATTTTCAATGGCTATATCGATTCACCTGATGTTTATTTGCCACATAGAATGATTTTCAGTGGCTATATCGATTCACCTGATGTTTATTTGCCACATAGAATGATTTTCAATGGCTATATCGATTCACCTGATGTTTATTTGCCACATAAAATGTCTTTCAGTGGCTATACTGATTCACCTGATGTTTATTTGCCACATAGAATGATTTTCAATGGCTATATCGATTCACCTGATGTTTATTTGCGACATAGAATAATTTTCAATGGCTATATCGATTCACCTGATGTTTATTTGCCACATAGAATGATTTTCAGTGGCTATATCGACACCTGATGTTTATTCGCCACATAGAATGATTTTCAGTGGCTATACTGATTCACCTGATGTTTATTTGCCACATAGAATGATTTTCAATGGCTATATCGATTCACCTGATGTTTATTTGCCACATAGAATGATTTTCAGTGGCTATATCGATTCACCTGATGTTTATTTGCCACATAGAATGATTTTCAATAGCTATATGGATTCACCTGATGTTTATTTGCCACATAGAATGATTTTCAGTGGCTATATCGATTCACCTGATGTTTATTTGCCACATAGAATAATTTTCAATGGCTATATCGATTCACCTGATGTTTATTTGCCACATAGAATGATTTTCAGTGGCTATATCGATTCACCTGATGTTTATTTGCCACATAGAATGATTTTCAATGGCTATATCGATTCACCTGATGTTTATTTGCCACATTTTCAATGGTGACTGAAACGATATATATTTTAAACACAACATTACGACATTGAAGCGGGTTTGTCAAATGATTAAGTTTCGAAGAAAATGCATGATATTTTGTTTTAAAAAAAGGTATTTCAGCACCCGGAATATTCTTGAATTCCACCAGGGAGCCAATTCAAAATCAAAGCAAAACATCAAATAAACAGTACTTACTATGTGATGGTTTAACAATTTTTTTGAGCTCCGTTCCCAGTTGCCGTGCCTGCTGCTTGTTCTGTTGCTGTTCTGATTGTTGTGTTGCTGTTCGGAATGACTGGGCGTGTTGTGTTGTTGGCGTGTTGTGTTGCTGTTCGGAATGACTGCTGCTTGTTCTGTTGATGTTGGATGTTGATGTCTCGGAATGACTGGGCGTGTTGTGTCCACCTGTTGTGTTGATGTTGGATGTTGATGTCTCGGAATGACTGGGCGTGTTGTGTCCACCTGTTCTGTTGATGTTGGATGTTGATGTCTCGGAATGACTGGGCGTGTTGTGTCCACCTGTTGTGTTGTGTTGTTGTGTTGCTGTTGTGTTGTGTTGTTGTGTTTGTGTTGCTGTTGTGTTGTGTTGTTGAGAGAGTGCGGCCTGAAACCATAGAAAAATATCAGGGCGGGAAGAAACGGGTTTTTACTGAACTTAAAACCAAAAAAACGTATTAAATCAATTAACATGGGCGATTCAAGAATCACAACAAGCGACGGAGGAAGACGATACATGTTTATTTGAGCTTACTCAATTGCAAACGGAGTTCGTCGGATGCCTTCCGTTCAGCGGCCAGTTCTCTACGCAACTCCTCCATCTGACTTCGCAGATCCTCCACTTCTGTCCGTCCATCAGTCTGAACACCCAAGTTTCGGGTCCTGGCTGACTGTAGGTTGGGTTCGACGATGGAACGGCTAGAAGTTGCGAGGTCTGGTTCGTCTGAAGGTTGCGCGAGGTCTGGCTCGTCTGAAGGTTGCTCGAGGTCTGGTTCATCTGAAGGTTGAACTACGTCATCTAAAAGGCACATGCTTAAAAACTGGTCTACAATATATATAATATATATACAAATCGAGGCTAAAATAATGTATAATGTACTAAAAAAGATTTTGGGAAACATTCGGAAGTGGGTTGTTTTTACTAGATAATTTACTAGATACTTTATCGAGGAAAACGATCATATGTATCGGAGTTCATGTCCAAAAAAAATCAAATTGCACCGGAAAAAAGAAAAAATCAAATTGCACCGGAAAAGAGGGGTCTATACATAAAGTACTTTTCCTGAACTATACATAAATAAAATTTACATACCGGCTTTGAGGACTCGTCCCTTCCAGCATTCTGAGTTTGCCCAGTAGTGAAAGGAGTCGCCTCCTTCCACACTTGCCGCAAACGTCCGCCCATTGAACAGTCTTTGAGTCTGGGGGGCAGTGGTCTGGTCGTTTTGATCTGGGATGTACAGTGTTGCAACATCCACGTAGTTGCTGGTGCCGATGTACGTACTGTCGGACGACCAGTACCACTCCAAGAGGACGGAGATATCGTTTGACTTTCTGCTCGAAGTCGCCTAAACGAACATTAAATTATAAAAGTTTTCACACAACATGATTGGAGGAACCTAATTCCGCATTAATTTTTTTTACAATGAATAATACTTTTCCAATAAAGTACAGCGAGTAACTTACTGATGGTTCAATTAGCAGACAGCAATTCGAAATTTCGAAGGGGGGCTTCTGATTTGCTTTTCGTGTCGGCAGAGAGACGCGCTGACCGGCAGTGACGTAGAATACGCCCGTACTGCTACGGTCCAGCGAGCTCCCGTGGACTAGCTTGATAAGTTCACTCATGAAGACCTGTAAAAGAATTTAATTAAATTACAAAGAACAATGTTATATACGTTTATAAACAGTCTTTGTCGCAGGTACTTAAAAGCCAACACCTCGCCTGTCGTATCTCGGATTTTTCTCGCTAATGTCTGAAATGAATGTCTGATGAATTAGGTTGAGCTAAAATTTACCTTGAAGTTAAAACGCAAGAGGACAATGTAGCAACTGCACAAACCCCGACGTCAAGTGAATCCGTCAGTTCCAAGAATTCCTTTTGACAGCGTTCTAAGATTTGACAGCGTTCTATATCGATGAGTTTGGAAAAGCAAGAGATCCAGATTATGTCGAGAATACACTCAAAATGTCTCACACTCAATGTACACTCAATGTCAATACACTCAATGTCGAGAATACACTCAAAATGTCTCACACTCAATGTACACTCAATGTCAATACACTCAATGTCTCACAGAATACACTCAAAATTAGATGCGAGGAAGTTTGTTTGTCTCCAGATCCAGATTATGTCGAGAATACACTCAAAATGTCTCACACTCAATGTACACTCAATGTCAATACACTCAATGTCGAGAATACACTCAAAATGTCTCACACTCAATGTACACTCAATGTCAATACACTCAATGTCTCACAGAATACACTCAAAATTAGATGCGAGGAAGTTGTGTTCCGTACCCTCATGAAAGTCTGAAATGAAATGAAATGAAATGAACTTAAATCAATTAAATCAGGCGGGAAACAATTTACTATGAACTTAAATTAGGCTGAATTAGTCATTTCACAGGCGGGAAACAATTGAATTGCCTTCTTTCCATAAATACAGTAGGGAAAAAGAAACCCGCGCCTTAACCCCCTAATTGGAAACTTTTTGTTACTAGACTGTACGCATCCACGCTGGGATATAACAAAACAACTTGTTGAATGTAGTCCCTCCATCGAACTTTCAGAAATTCGAACGATTCCGCCGCATTGTTGTGATAAACTTATTAAATAGTTGTCGCGAGAAAGTTGAGCATGACAGGCTCAATTCGAAATTTTGAAAAATTAAATTTTCTCCCAAAATTGCGTGTTGAGTGTATCTTGCGTGTTGCGTGTAGCGTGTTGAGTGAATCTTCTTGCCAATGAAGAGTCGTATCGTGTCTCTTTACCACGTTAAGACGTCTTGTTACTCTCATGTTTTCTATCGACAGTTTTTGTGAACACATTTGTCGATATTGATGGACAAAAGACTTTGGCCTGACCAAGTCTACATTGCCTAATAATTCGGCACGGTGAACAGTAGGCCTAATGACCTCAAAAATTTTTAATCTGATTCAAAATGTGATTTATGGAGAAAGTGAAACTTGCTTGATATATATACCCCAGAGCTCAACCGGAACGAGTACGCTAGTAAAATTTAAAAATTTCACTTTTTGAGGGCCAATTTTGAGCATCAGAAAATCAATAAAATCAATTTTTTGACATGAAGACGTTAATTTTTTGTCATAGTTGACAAAACTTCATAATAAGCCTCAGTCTTGTTCTAAGCGTTAAAAAAAGAATTGGGTCAAAATTTTTGTTTTTTTTGTTGAGATTTCAGGTAAGGAAAGTACCAATTTTTGAAAAAACGATGTTTTAGACCAAGTATGGGCTGATAACTTTTTTTTGATATGAGTTTTGGCTTAAAAAAACAATTCAAGTAGTAGCCAAAAGCACAGGCCACAAAATGAAAAAAACTAGAAGGTTTAAAAATCTATAAAAACTGAAAAAAATTCAAATAACTGGAGTAAAAATATAGCCAATTTTAAGGCTAATTTACAAGCATTTGAAAAGACTTAAAATCTCTTTTTCGACGTGATGGCGAAATTTCTATGAAAAGTTTATAGGTAATCATAGTTGATCCTACTTAATAGCAAGCTTTTAAAAGAAATTTTGACGATTTTCTTTTTCGTTATTGAGATATGGCTCCATGGAGGTGCACTTTTTTGAAAAAACGCAGTTTTTTAAGAGTTTTTCCTCTATAACTTTTTTTTTACTCGCTAAATATCCCTAAATTGTCCTTTAAAAAGTTGCTTTAGCTATATTACAATTAAAAAATATGTTTTCAATGTCTGAAAAAGACCGAAACTATCCAAAAAACCCATTTTAAAAAAAAATATATTCCATTTTTTGGTCATTTTTTCACCCTCTGATGGTGACAAAAAACGATTTTTCGATAAGAAGAAGACTTTTTTTCGAAACGTTTTACGAGAAACAACTTTGGTCCTACTTGCGACTCATCTTTTAGAGGAAGTTTGAGGTCAATTTTTTTTTTGGTTGTCGAGATCTGGCTCCATGGAGTTGCACTTTTTTGAAAAAACGCAGTTTTTTACAAGTTCTTCCTCTATAACTTTTTTTTCACTCGCTAAATATACCTAAATGTTTCTTTAAAAAATTGCCTTAGCTATAATACATTTGAAAAAAATAATTTCGATGTCTGAAAAAGACCGAAACTATCCAAAAAACCCATTTTCTAAAAAAATAATAATCCATTTTTTTTTTCATTTTTTCACCCTCTGATGGTGACTGTAACATTCGCCCGGAAGATACATATCGACGGATAACAAAACTAAGTCTTAAGACGACTGGCTAGCGTCTAAACAGAGCTTTGCATGTTTTTCACCGTCTCTACCAAGCCAGTACTTTTCGGTGGTCTTTTCCAACATCGGGTCGACAAAAACGCTACTGCTCTCCGGCTTCGACCAGAACGCTCAAATTAACTTAGTTACATGCAAAATTAGTGAGCTCATGGCTGGGTCTCAGTATCCCCAGACCACGAGGTCACTCCTAAAAACAGGGCTACTACTTATTATACTACTATTGTTTTTGTTCAGTAGATAAAAATCATCATCTCCATCGAAGATGGATCAACCCTTTCCCCCCCAACTCTTAGCACCTCATCCTTGCCAAAACTGATCCAAATATCAATTAAATTCAAGTCAGGACATGACAGGATGCTAAAATTCAATACAAGTTCATAAAAGTTCCCGTCCCGAGACCCTTCCGGATTCTTGAATCCGGCGAATCAAGCTCCTTAACCTCAAGTTCACGCTAACTCGGAGGGCTGGTTTTTACCCTTCACCGTTGTTCGCAACGGCCTTGCAACTATTGTAACAGCACAATAGTTGCAACTCGGAACGTCCTCTGCTGTTCTGTCGTTCGTTGTTGTTTTTTAGTCTCGATTTTCGTACTGTTCGCAATCGCAGATAAAAGTTGTTCTGTTTCTTTTTGCTATTTTAGCTAAAATGGCCGTTTCTGACGTTTCTCAGAAAAATGACGTCATAATTCGAATTTTTAAAATTTAGAATTCCAGAATCTTCTAGCCTTCACCGTTTGGCCAATCGTTCAAATAACGTCCCTATCCGTTCCAAATCGCCAATTCGGAAGGCTTGCTGCTAAAATCCCGAATTTTGCAGAGACTGCATTTTGGCCATTCTGGTCGAATGTCACATACTCCCCGGACAGTCCGGTCAATGTCCTCATTGAATCGCGCAATGTTCATAAAATGGTTACAGTGCCCTCGAACAGAATTTACAAATTGCACGGAATTACTTTTATCCACGTCATATCAACTCACTGCAGAATATAAATGGCATCATACTACATCACTATAGCCTTCAAATTCTTTCATCAATCTGCACATTGAGAATATAACCTCAGATAAAACATGTTTTCTGACTTCCAGTGTCTATGTCCCGATTAAAACTTTTTCTCTTAGATTTAAAAAGTGTTGGCTTGCAGGACAGTCCTGCCAACCAACAAGCTAAAATTATCCTACTATGCTCCTTCCCTTCGGAAATCTTGCTTGTTTATTGTCCTGAATATTAAAACTAAGAAACTTTGTGGTTAGAAAGAACAATGCACCAACCTCCCTCTTCAAGAGGTCACTCAAGTCTTTCATATCACCACAAAGTGATCAGTTTTCTTAAGTGATTAAAAACAATCATGCAGGCTGGAATATTTAAATATACTCTTTTCTTAAGCCTTTCTAAATAAATAATAAGTGTCTCTAAAGCCACTTCCGCTAAAATCAAAATGCAAATTTATAAATGCAACAATTTCAGAACTCAACAAAATGTTTCAGTTTTCAATTACAACTTGGTTGCTTGGTTTCTCACTTGAGTTTTTCACACACATAAAACAATTCTGAGTTTTAATTTTCTTCATCATTTCTTTGTTCTCTTCTTTTTTCGTCGTTTAGAAGTTCTAAAACTTCTAAATTCTTCTAATTTTCTTTTTTCTTGCCTCTTGTTTTCTCGACCATTCATCAATGTTCCATTTCCTCCTCCTGCGATGCTGACTCCGCGCTTTCGGTTTCCGTGTCTTGTAGCACGTCGTTGACTATCCTGACGCTGTTGGAAGCCGTCCTCCAACACTTCTGCTCTTCTACCCTCTGTTTACAACAAGGTAGGGGATCCACGTTGGATTCTCTGTTTCTACAGAAGCTGTTGTGGAGACACAACGTCACGTTTCTCTCCAGATCTTCTTTCAGCATCTCTGCCTTCTCATTTCCACTACGCTCACTCGTTCTGGAAATTCTTTTCACAGCGGTGGTCACTGCATTCCGATGAGTCACGAAAGCTCGCTTGAAAGCTCCTGCCCCAATGTCCAGCTGATATTCACTGTACACTCTGCCATGTTTCGACATATGCTTTTTCGCATACTCGTACAACCATGCAGTCATGTTAGCTCTGAACCAAGGCATCAATCGTTTTCTCGCCCATATCTTCTTCACTTCCATTGGAATGTTTAGAACTTTGCACATTGTCTCAAAAAGATCTAAATCTTTTAGACAATCTAATTTCTGCAATTGTTCTCTCGTCGGTTATGGCTATATCGATTCACTTGATGTTTATTTCCCACATAGAATGATTTTCAATGGCTATATCGATTCACCTGATGTTTATTTGCCACATAGAACGATTTTCAATGGCTATATCGATTCACCTGATGTTTATTTGCCACATAGAATGATTGTCAGTGGCTATACTGATTTACCTGATGTTTATTTGCCACATAGAATGATTTTCAATGGCTATATCGATTCACTTGATGTTTATTTGCCACATAGAATAATTTTCAATGGCTATATCGATTCACCTGATGTTTATTTGCCACATAGAATAATTTTCAGTGGCTATATCGATTCACCTGATGTTTATTTGCCACATGGAATGATTTTCAATGGCTATATCGATTCACCTGATGTTTATTTGCCACATAGAATGATTTTCAGTGGCTATATCGATTCACCTGATGTTTATTTGCCACATAGAATGATTGTCAGTGGCTATACTGATTTACCTGATGTTTATTTGCCACATAGAATGATTTTCAATGGCTATATCGATTCACTTGATGTTTATTTGCCACATAGAATAATTTTCAATGGCTATATCGATTCACCTGATGTTTATTTGCCACATAGAATAATTTTCAGTGGCTATATCGATTCACCTGATGTTTATTTGCCACATGGAATGATTTTCAATGGCTATATCGATTCACCTGATGTTTATTTGCCACATAGAATGATTTTCAGTGGCTATATCGATTCACCTGATGTTTATTTGCCACATAGAATGATTTTCAATGGCTATATCGATTCACCTGATGTTTATTTGCCACATAAAATGATTTTCAGTGGCTATATCGATTCACCTGATGTTTATTTCCCACATAGAATGATTTTCAATGGCTATATCGATTCACCTGATGTTTATTTGCCACATAGAACGATTTTCAATGGCTATATCGATTCACCTGATGTTTATTTGCCACATAGAATGATTGTCAGTGGCTATACTGATTTACCTGATGTTTATTTGCCACATAGAATGATTTTCAATGGCTATATCGATTCACTTGATGTTTATTTGCCACATAGAATAATTTTCAATGGCTATATCGATTCACCTGATGTTTATTTGCCACATAGAATAATTTTCAGTGGCTATATCGATTCACCTGATGTTT